AAAATATATCAATATATAAATTTAGAAATTAGTAGACTTTGTCCTAAACTCTTTGAAAGGCAGTCATCATTATACATAACACAAGAGTCTTGAACGGACCCAGAAAATAAGCCTATTTCTATGCTAAGATTAAAGAAAGAGAGTAATGAAATAATCCATAAAGCAAACTTCTGGAGGAGGAGGGGCAAGCATTAAGAGTATGTATAAAGATTAAAGTGTTGACCCTCAAAAATACATTGTGTGCACTTAACAACGTCAGTGAGCCATCTTCCAAAGGTAATCATGATTCTCAAGTATATTTTCCAGTGTAATAGAAATCATTAATAGAAATCATTAACATTAAATATTAAATATTTTCAATATTATGCCAGATGCAGAAAAATAATTTAGCTGATGAAATAACTTAGAAGCAAGGCAAAAGGGTCCATTGCCACAGCAATGTGATGCTGCACTATTTATAATTGAAAAGGTGGAAGAATTATTTGAATATTTTACAATAGAAGCACTTTGTTTGCTCTAACAATGCTTTCATAGAAGCAGCACATTGTTTCCATGTTCAAATTTAATTTTCTTATTTCTTCCTTTTTTTTCTGAAAGACAAAGTCACTCATGGCTATAAATTATTATTCCCCTTACCTTTTGTGTATATTTAAATATACCAATAAAGTGATGATGTAATATAAAACATTAAATTGTTCAACACATAAGGTTCTATACACATAAAATATTATCATGAGGAGAAAAGATATCAAAGATTGAAGAAAAATAATTTAGAATTTATGTATTCCATATTTTCCACAATTTAGGCAATATGAGAATTCACTGATTATTTCTAATTCTTCAAATTCAACTGATAGAAAAAAAAACATATTTTACATTTACTTGATAATAATATTTAACCAAAACATGTGATATTTATGAAAAGGAGGATATTAATTGATTTCTCCTGAATAAATAATTTTTAGTTGATAAGAACAAAATATTACCCTAGCAGTTCTCTCAATCAACCCCCAAGGAAAATAACTGATGTCCATGGCATGCTGAATACTCAAGGCTCATAATTAGCTCCAAACTCTTATCTCTTTCAGATAATTTTATTTTCACCTTACTCTACTTTTTTGTTTCATAAAATCTGTTAATAATAACAGATAATTAATATCATAGTTATCTAATTAAATTAAATATGACAATATGATTGAAGTGTAAAATAGAGTGTGGTTTTCAATGAAAGCAACGTTGAATGTCTCAGACTCAATGAAGGTGAGCTATGCAAAACGTTCGTATCTAAATAAATGAGAAATAATCATAAAAGACTGGGGATAGAGTTTTATAAGAAGTAAATAATATTCTACACCTTAGGCTGCTTTCCAAGTGTTTTTTAGCTTCTTGCTCCATTTTAAATGGCAAATTCAAGGATTCACATTTTTCCCTAGATACTAAAGACAACAGAGTGTGTATTTTGTGCCTCCAGGGGGCAAGGACAGGGAGGCCAAATCAATGCGAGGAGAGGAAAGCATATCTGACAATTGGAACATCCCTCCAATACAGCAGTTTATCTCACAGAACATAGTATCTTATCAGCGATTTAGGTATTGTGTGGAAGTTTGTCCTAGATGTCCTATTGAGCTTCTTTTAAATCTGAAATTGTATGATAATGCTTACTCATATTATTTCCTTTAATGTTCAGTGCTTTAATAAGAGCTTATCCCAGTAAGTGATCATGATAATGTGCCATAGCTGTAATCTTGATCAAGCTGGCGCACCTAAACCAAAAGCCAAATCTAGCCTAAATTGAAAAATGGTTCAAATGCAAATAGGGCACATCATTTCTGACAATTGATCTCCCAAACTAAAATTATCTCAGTTCGACAAAATATTCACAGGAAGGAAGATAGGACAGCTAAACACTAAATACTAGTAGATACAACATATCAAACTTCTATTGATTACATGTCAGAATTTACCTATCTTTCAAAACATACGTATAATTACCAGAACTAGTAACTATTAAGAGAAAGTAACACCAGGCCTCAAATATGGAAAAATAAATTACAGAAAGATTAAAACATTATAATAGAATGTTGAAACTTAACATGGAATTTCCTCAAATAGCAACAAAAAATAAATGCTTCTTTAATGGTAATGTTATCGTTCCATTTTACACATGCACATAAACTTTATACTTAACTATTCAAAGATAATTATTTGAAGGGATGCCACAATGGTTCTCAACCACAGCTACACATAAAAATCACCTGGGGAACTTTTAAAATTCAGATTCATGGCTCCCCATCCCAAACCAATTAAAGCAGCATCTCTGCAGCTGGACTTAGAAACTTCAGTATAAAATGGATATACACTCTATTTTGCCTTCCCTCAAAACACACACACATGCACACACACAAACACACAATGCTCATTCCTAAGAAATTTCAGCTTATTTAGTTCAACTGCCAAGCATTGCATGACTAGATAAGATAGAAAAGAGTTCAAAATCATCTAATGTTGTCCTCAGGGAATTTATGTTATGCATGCTCTGCTCAGTTCGAAAACATTAGTATTATTTATTGACTTGTGCTCACATCAAATGTAATAAACAATTTACATAAGAAAGTGACAAATATATCCATGGTCTAACACAGATGTTATATTGGAGAACAATTCCTAGCTCTTACTGAAGCCTGACAATACAATCAAAATAGACTTAGCCTGAAGTAAAGGAACAAAGACCTTCATTTTTTGTGTCAATTTCAGGAATGATTACCTCTCAAATAACCTTGAACAGCCTTATATTTTGATTTTTCTGGCAATGCTGAATTTGAAAGAATTCCAAAAACATTGGTTTTTTAAAAAGAAAGATTAAGTAGCCTTCTTAAAAAAGTCAATCATTTCTCTTAACAGAGAGAAGAAAAAAGACACTTACAAAAATACTTCTTAGAAAAATCACAAATGTCCCAATATTTTTTCATATAAACCTGTTTTTCCATAGTTCTTCATCTGTTCATTTGTCTTTTTGTGGATGCATTCTTTAAATACTTTGCTAAGGATTTCTTGAAAAGCCAAGTAGCTTCGGACCTTGAACTCCAATAAATAATTATTCAAAACTGATCACACTGTGCGACAAGGTACACTCTCTAAAATTGTATCCTAGTTATGTCATTTGACTAAAAGCCTTCCTTTGGGTACCTTCTGATAACCTTCTTTTGCACCCCATTCCCCACTCCCACACCTACTATATTTTGTAATGAGCTCATCTCCAGTTGAGTTGTGTGATGGGAATAACATTTATAATTTCATCTCTATAAACTGAGCTGAAACTAAGTAACAGACATTGCGGGTCAAAAAAAGAACCTGTAGGAATATTATTTGTAGTATTAAAAAAAGAACTTTATATCAAAGTGTATGTGTGTGGCGGGGTGTCTAAATTATAGGAAGATAAATAAGAAAGGACTTGAGGGCAGGACTGGGCTTCCATCCTGCATGTAGGGCTTCACACCCTGGACTTACAGTGTCTCGCTTACTGCCAACCTTTAACATACCAGGACTATTCAACTGCAGGATTAAAATCTTCAAACGAGAAGCTTCATGGAACAAACTGAGCTTGGAATTTGGAACTCAGAATTTATATTGCGAGCTCAAATGCCCAGTAGCCTCCGTAGGGCTTCACACCCTGGACTTACAGTGTCTCGCTTCCTGCCAACCTTTAACATACCAGGACTATTCAACTGCAGGATTAAAATCTTCAAACGAGAAGCTTCATGGAGAAAACTGAGCTTGGAATTTGGAACTCAGAATTTATATTGCGAGCTCAAATGCCCAGTAGCCTCCCCTGAAAAGCTGTTCCAATCCGCCCTGTCATAGTTCACGTAGTCTATTGACAAAGTTTAGTGAACCAAGAGCCAGAAGAAAGATCCTGTGACTCTCCACGTATCTTCTATTTTCATCTCCTGATAAGCAGATGTTGGGAAAATAATAAAATGACCTTTTCAAGAAGGCTCTGGCCTCTGTGGTCTTTGTTCTTGATTATATTCTTAAATAATCTAGGACAACACATTCTCTTACAAAATAAAAATTAAAAAAAAAAGATAAGGAGGTCCTTAATTTGAATTTCAAATAATCTTTTAGAAAGTATTAGTGGGGAGAGTTTAACCTAAAAAGTCTGCTGTACCGTACGCCCAGATGGTTTCAGGTAAGAGGTTATGAGCCTGTACTCTTCTCTGTTATATAATCAAAGAAAAGTCATCAATGTCTTATTTAGGAAAAGTTCTTTATGTTTTGTTGTTTTTGGGGGATTTTTGGCGGGGGGAAAGTTCTTTACAACTTCTAAATATTTTACCAATATTGGAAACCAGATTGGGAGGCAGAATAATGTAAGGGAGAGCGCAGAGGCATTGAATAAGAGAGGACCTCAAATTTTGGCTTTAATGTTAGCTAAATACGTGAAACTTACCAAATTGCTATACGTTTCTGATCCTCAGTTTTCTCATTTAGCAAAAGGCTTTCTGAAGGCGTGAATGAGATAATATAGGCAATAAAATAAAAGATTTCAAAAAGTAATTATAGTGGTAGATTGTAGCAGCTATAGTTGTTATAGTAATAATGATTATTAATGCCATTATACAGCATATCTGTACAATATGGCTGAGCTCTTTCCTTGTAGCAACAAAGGAAATATGGGCTTTAATATTTAAACTCAGCTTTAGTTTTTCAAGCTTTAGAATTTTGAGGGCTCAGCTTTAGTTTTTCAAGCTTTAGAATTTTTGACATAGAAGCAACAAATTAACATTGCATCAAAACTCAGCTTTAGTTTTTCAAGCTTTAGAATTTTTGACATAGAAGCAACAAATTAACATTGCATCATATTCCAAACCAGTGAGATTATTCATATTATTTTAAGTTAAATAAATTATTTGATGAACACATTGGATGACTGAGAGTTTTAATCACTTACTAATAAGTATGCATTACTTATTTCACCTAAATGATATAGTTGTCTTTACCTGAGAAGAGTAGGTATGTCCATCTGATCCACAGATGGGGCTGGAATAGGCCATTGGGCACTGCTTGCAGGTGGATGATACAGGACCCCTCCATTGCTTATGGACTATCCCCACTTCTTTCATACTGTAAAAACAAAATAAAACAAGCATATTTAGTTCATTTATTTTTAAAATTACATTTATATTTATGTTAGCATCATGTTTTCTCCGCTATCATTCCAACTCTTGAAGATAAACTAGAATCAGTCAACTGTATTCTCATTTTTAATGTATTAATCCATACAATGTTCTTCATTATAATCTTTGGTTTCATATCTCGAGGTTTTCCTCCGATAAAACAAGAATAAATTCCTTAAATATACTCTGCTAGTCACATGTAGACTATACTTATATTTCATCATGCAAACTCCTTTGTTTTAATTTAGAGTCGTGGAAGGTGTTTCTGATAGCCCCAGACACAGAAGCAACACTTGCTCAGGAATTAAGACTCACACATCTGGCACCTTCTTAACAGCCACCAGGTATCCCATTAACAGTCTCAAAAAAAAAAAAAAAAATAGGCACTAATTCACTGGGTGCCTGAAAATAAAAGCAGCTTCCTTTTAGAGAAAACAGCAATAAATAACTACAATTTTTCAGCATCTACTAGTATTTAGAGAACCAAATTAGTAGGTTTAGTAATAGCAAATCCCTTTTTATTGTGTTGAAGTTTCTCAAAATAGATCCATTAGGCTTTGATATAAAATAACTCGGAAAACGCCATTCTCTTCTGCTAACCTACATTGAGAATTATTTGTTTCCCCACTTTGATTAAACTGCTTTATTCCTCTGCCTATTTTTGTCAACAATTTACATAGAGATGGATGTGAAAAGGGCTTTAAAACATGAAAGAAAACAAGAGAATTTATACAAAA